AGACCCTGGGCCCCGGGCTGCCCTCTCACCGCGGTGGCGGCTGAACTGTGGCCACTCCCCGGTCCCACCCGCATGCCTCCCCGCTCGCTCGGGCTCCACCTTCCCTCGGCCCAGCTGCCTCCTCAGATGTGTCCCGACCCACTGCCCAGCGAGCGATGCCCTGCCCACTCCTGTGGGACTCTGTGCCTCCCACACGGCATCGCGGCAAGAGGGCGGCATCTCCCCTGCCCCCAGCCGCCCTGGAGGGCGCCCACAGCTGCGCCCCATGCCGGCCTGCAGGTAGACTGACTCCGCGGCACTTGCTCCCATCAGGGTTTAGATGGCTCCCTCCCCAGACCGACACTCGGAAGGAGGCCCGTTCCTAACACGTCTCTGGAGGCAGCACAGTACAAAGGTGGTGTGCAAACGACACGTGCCCAAGAAATCCACACAGATCTTGCTCTGACACGGTCCAAAGTGCCAGGAAGCCGCGTGAAGTTTGCTCCATGCGCAGAGGATCAGAGGGCAAGAAGCTCGAGGCACAAATAGCAGGTTTGGGTTCCTCCCCCAAAGGGCTCACCTTCACAGAAACGTTTGCCTGGGGGCCACCTGTGCTGCCCGGCAGACTCCAGGGCACAGCAGTGCGTACCTGACATAGAGCGATATGGGCACGACGGTGTTGAGGATGATGATGTAGGACCAGAAGGAGAGGAAGCCAGAGAAGAAGGCACTGTCCACCGCCTCGTCCCAGGGCAAGTAGACCTGGAAACGCGTCCCGACCTCGTGCTCCCAGATGGCATTGCCGATGGCCAGGATCACCCCCATGCAGACCAGGAATCCAAAAATCTGGCGACAAATGAGAAGCAGAGGCTAGGCTGCTACTTAGGAACCCTCCGAAATCAAGCACCTCCCTGAAGGTCACCACTCCTACGTCCACACCCTCAAAAGCTCAGACATCTTTAAAATGGCGGCATGCTCCAGCGGGAAGCGGCCAGAACCGGTGACCATCACGCGGCCTCTCCCCGAACATCTTGCTTAACTGTATGATGGGGAAGCCCCAACAGCCGCACAGCTCCCCAGTCTGCCACCACGGAACCTTCCGAGATGGCAAGAACGGGTGTGAGCAACCTGCTCCCAACGTAACGAGGCAGTTTGGTGGAAACCACCCATTTACTTGGGCTAATTAAGCTTCCACAAGCCAACAAAAACGTCCAGTTTCTGTGATGTTCGCTATCTCGTACGGAGTACCAAAAAGCTTTTTCAATCAGGGAAGCAAACGGTGTCTTCACAGATGCAGATTACTGTGAATAGAAAATCTTCTAAAGGTTGTAAAAAATTCTTTTGAACGTCTGAATCTGGGGAGTGCCTGGGCGGCTCAGTCAGTTAAGTACCCGACGCTCGATTTCAGCTCAGGTCATGGTCTCATGGTTCATGGGATTGAGCCCCACATTGGACTCTGTGCTGACAGCGTGGGGTCTGTTTGGGATTCTCTCTCTCTCTCTCTCTCTTTCTCTCTCTCTCTGCCCTTCCCTCTGTCTCTCTCTCTCTCTCTCTCTAAATAAACAAACATCTAAAAAAAATAAAAATGTAAATCTTGGAGTCCCTGAAAAAGGATCATAAAAAAGTTTCAGTGGCCAGAAGAAAAAACCGACACCACTGTATTTCCAAAGCAGCATCCACTGACAGCAGCCACCCAGGTGCCCAAGGACCGCCAGGGGGCGATGAGAGCCTTCGTGCGACAGAATGAACCGCGCTCCCAGAGGCTGGGTCTCCACAGACCCTTGGAGGCCAGAGCAGAACCTGGCCCACTGGAACTTGGCCCAGCCTTCGCAGGCTGGCAGGAGGGCAGGGGCTCCAGAAGGGGAGGAGAGCCCAGCAAGGAGCTCAAGTTTCTAGCCAGACAAGACGAGAATTCAGGAAGTGCCAAAAACTAAAACAGAAACTTTTCCTTTGGGGTCCTCCACTCTTAGAAGTCGGGGAAAAGGCCTAAAGGAACTTTTTCTTTCCCCTCCCTCCCCACCCCACGGAGGCCTCCCTGTCCCTCTGGCAAAAGCAAACAGAAGGTCACAAGCTGCACAAAGTTACCACCGTGACTGGAACCCAGAGAGGGGAAGACATGATTTACTCCCTTCAAGTTCTTGATTCACACACCTTCCTACGGGTTTTTTAAACAACATCCTCCAAGCCTGAAGGGGGCCCGAAATCAACACTGCCCGTGAGTGGCTGACCTGCCGGTGGCTTTAAAACCAAAACCTAGGGGCGCCTGGGTGGCGCAGTCGGTTAAGCGTCCGACTTCAGCCAGGTCACGATCTCGCGGTCCGTGAGTTCGAGCCCCGCGTCGGGCTCTGGGCTGATGGCTCAGAGCCTGGAGCCTGTTTCCGATTCTGTGTCTCCCTCTCTCTCTGACCCTCCCCCGTTCATGCTCTCTCTCTGTCCCAAAAATAAATAAACGTTGAAAAAAAAAAAAAAAATTTTAAAACCAAAACCTAAAGCTCCACTGCTGACCAGGCAGGCCAGGTGGGAGCACCGGCCCGGGCACCGGAGGCCAGGGGCCTGTGTGAGGACTCACCCAGAGCACCAGGGTGTTCATTAGGCGATCAATACTCGTTCTCTTGAACTTCGTCCTGCCGCTGTTCTGCATCAGCTTAGTGTCAGGACCTAGGAAGCAGTGGCAGGGGCTGCGGAACGAACAGCCCATCTGCCCCTGGGCTCCTGCCCGTGGACCCCGACTGCAGCACGGGAGTGGAGGAGACAGAGGCTATCCCGAGGCGCCTCCCACGTGCCTGAGGGCGGCCGAGGCTCCCCCGCTTACTCTTCTTCCCCTGCACCCCAGGAGGCTCACCTGCAAAGACCACCAGCCCGAAGCACCACTCGGTGTTACGCAGCACGCAGCCCCGCAGGAGCATGTTCTGGTTGCTCAGCGGGAACTTGCTCTCCTTCCAGTAAAGGGCCCCACTGAACTTGTCCAGCTTGTTGTTCGGAGGCTCGCAGACCACCTCACCTGAGCGGAACGCAGAGCACCGTCACCGCCGGCGCCGTCCACAGCCTGACGGCGAGGCGGCCGGCGGCCAGACAGGTACCGCCACACACGGCCGGGAGCACGCGGACCCGGGCAACTTTGGGGGAGGAATGAATGGAGATCGAAAGTCACGGACCCTCGGGCCCAGCGGTCCCACTCTGGGGACTGTGTCCTACGGCAAGCACGGCACAGGCCACAAGTTTACCGAAGCATTCTTTGAGCGGCAAAAAACTAGAAACAACTGAACAGTCGAGGGGCAGTTGAATACAATACGATACGTCAATGGCACAACTTGACGCAGTTGCTACATCGGGGTACGTTTCTATAAGTAACGGTAAGACACAGACGACGAATTTAATAGCTGAAACAAAGGCAGGGCGTAGAGATCTGGGTACAGCAGGATCCCACTGCTCTGTGCTCACAGTTGCGTGAACACAGACAAAGCGCGGACGGATACAGTGTGCCTGGCCGCCTAAGGCGGGTGGAGCTGGGTGGTTTTTCCTTATACCCACTACGGCTCCTCTTGTTAGAAGGACTACATATCGTCATTTGGAGCTGAATGAGAAGAAGAAACTGAATTTCTCTCAACATACACAGCCAGGAGGGAGCTATCAGCCCTGAGGACCCCTGGAAATGGCCATGAACTGGAGAGCCGCCTGGCATCTTGACCCCCACCCCCCTGCCGACCACCACTGCGACAAAGACAAGTCCCGGGAGCTGCAGCACAGCAAAAAGGAGAACGTGCAGAGGAAACCTCAAAACCCAACCCACGTCCTCCACCTGAAGGCCGCTCCCCCAAATCACTCACCATCAAACTTGGCGAGCCTGCTGATGTCCCCCAGCTCCGAGGTGACCGGAATAGCCTGCCGCACTTTCATGTTGGTCTCTCTGGAAGGACAGCATCCCTGAGTCCTGGTTCTCTTCCCTTCCCCCACATTCCACCCGGGGGCACCTGACCTCAGGGCATCACCCTCCTCCACATGACTGAGTGGCTCAAAGCCTTCGACCCCTAAAGTTTCCAAAGGGTATAGATCCCAGACCTGGGAACCTCTTCCAAAACACAAGCCTCCTACCCTTAAGGAGGCAGAAGATGTGTGACACCAGGCGTCCGACTTACCCATCAAGCTCCGCTGTCTCGATGTAACACAGACCGTGGGGCTCACTGCTGGAAAGGAGGAGGAGATCCGCCTGGAGAGAAAGCCTGGTGAGGAGCCTGAAGACCATCCTGCATCACAACGCACACTTCCCTGGTCCCTCCCTTCCCTCAGTGTTCTGGGTTTGCTTAGTCCCAAGCATGAATGGCCAGAAAGGAGTCAGGCCCAGGTGTGCTAAGAGGACAAGAAGCTTCCCACTCAAGGAAGTTTCCTTCCATAGGTGTTTAAGAGGCAGTAGTAAACCATGAAAGACTCGCTTCTTTCTGCCAAAAAAACCCAAAAACAAAACCAAAGGGAAGAGCCTCGTAGGCCTAGAGGGGCACCTGTCCCTTACCGCCACAAACTGGTTATTTTCTAGTTTGATGATATCGCCAACACGGACATTCATCCACTGCTCTTGCTGGAGGCTGAAGTAGTGACCAGACAGAGCAGAGGAGGTCAGGAGCTAGAGGAAGTCCCAGGGGACCCTTCCTCCCGAGGGCCCTCGGTGTCCAGCAGGCACTCACCTTCCATCGATCAGCACTTGAGACTGCCGGTTATTCACCTGGTTGTCACTCTTGTGGCGGAACTGAAGACGAGACAACGGAGACAGTGAGACACCGCCCCCGCCTTCGGGGACCGAGATGACTGCGGGATGCAGAGAGCGCTGCCTCCACCTTGTGTGCACCTGTCCACAGATCTACCCCCTCCCTGGCTCCGCCCCTGTCCCTGGCCAAAATACCAAGGACATGGAGGACAGCGAGGTGGGAGTGGAAGCGAGGAAGGGGCGCGGGGACAGGAGCGACTCACGTAATCGTCGGTGGCATCTTTCACAGCTGTGATGGCAAGGACAAGGACCAAAGGCACAATGGTGGTGAACCAGGAAAGGGAAGACACCTGCGGAATCAACTACAAGGGCAAGAGGGCTCTGAGGCCCCATCCACGCCAGTGCTCCTGCCCGACCTCTCTTCCCCGACTTTACTCGGCTTCATGAGCTGCAGAGGGTCGGCTATAGGACACTCACCTGCAGAATGAGAAGGAACAGGAAGTAGGTATTGGCCACTTCCTGGAACTGCTCGAAGAGGTTGACAGGCAGGAAGGTGAGAATATTGTACTTGGAGGTCTTGATGCAGTTACTCTACGGCAGAAGATGACAAGGCGGCTTCTCACCGTGACCCAGAACCAGAGGGAGGCTGCACCCTCCACCTGCACTTCCCAAACCTCTGCCCCCAGAAGCCAGCCACCACAGGTGTGGGAGGAGGAGAGGGCAGAGACCAGGGCGTCTCATGGGCTGCACGTGCCCTCCTGCGCTGACAGGCGAAGGAGCGAGAAGTTAGGTTCAGCGGTCGCAGGTGGAGAGGTGCCAGGAGGCTGCCTGCCCCCCCTACCCCCCCCAACCCAGGCCTTTGCCCTTTTGCACGCCGGAGGGGAGCCGGAGGGGAGCAGGCGGCTACTCACTCACCGCGTACTGGAACTTCTCATTGTACTCTCGGTCGTTGGCTCGCGCCCTCCTCTCTTCTTCTGCAACAGAGTGACGCGGCACTCAGCGGGGGCTACCGGCCGCCTCGTCAGGGCCTTCCGCTGAGGGCCCGGGGCTCTTTCCACAGTACACAGTTTGAGGGAGTCGATCCCACGCCTGAGGTGTCACTCAATTCTTCCCTCTGGTCCCTGTCACCACCAGCCTGGCCACGGGGCTCTGCGGGCATTTGTTCCCAGGACAAGACAGCCTCTCCCTCTCCCTTCCTCACCGACAGCAGCAAGGCTGCTAGGGGCACTCAGGTCCCCTCCCCCGTCCCTTTAATTAACACCTTAGGCTTTATGGCCTCAGGAATCCCCAGAGAAATAGCAGCTGAAGACAAAAAGCATCCTTCTCCTGGGAGCACCGCCCCCCCACCCCCCCAGATCCAGCCATGGTAGCCCTGCTCCTATGCTCCTAACCTGC